TCCACCGTTTCTCCTATTTTTTCTACATTATTCGATACCCTATTACTTTTCATTTAAATATTATGTGAAGGTGCTTGCTATGGTACCCAACAAAAATAGGAGGGTACCATACCTAGGATGCATTTCATTGGTCCAACTCAAAGTTTTACATTTTATTTTCATTTAAATTATTCAATTGAAAATTTTTGATTGGTCCATACCATCAATGTACCATACTTTCAAGGTACCATAGAAATTGCCTTATGTGAAACCCTATTATAGTAATCATTTCAATACAGAGACAGTGCTATAAAATTCTACATAGTATTTATTTTGTTATACTGTTTTTACTTGAACTGTAATTTGATAATTTGGTCTGGTTTAATCTGGTCTGGCCTGGGAGGAATTACAGTCTAAGTAAAAACATCCTTAATCATATTCAGTTATACACACATTTTAACATTTTATTATTTTAATACAAAAACAAATATACAATTGTTTTTTGAAGTGCACAAATATACAATAATATTTGTTTGTGTGGCCTTGTCCCTACCCGACTAACACCACCAATTGAAAAGAAAAGAAACTAAACTAAAAATTAAATTGGCTTTCAATTAAAGATCTAAGCAAAGTAAGAAGGAAATACCACGAAGTCCGAAGAATCAGAAGACTTGATTGCCTGAAGCAGCTAGCCGTTAAAGTCTCGGCCTCTGCCGTCTTCCGTAGGTCAATAGATAAATGCTTTTACGTTTTTTTTGATCATATAAATGCTTTTACGTTTAGAAATTGAAATTAAGCAATAATTAAACGGGTATTAGCCCTAAATAGGAGTAAAATAAGCCCAAAATTCAACATAAGGAGAACAATCCTTTTATTCTCAAAATAGGACTCATATATATCTCTTCTTCCCATTCTACCTCTTCCTATAGTTTCCAATAGATTTATTTTATTAATAAGAAAATCATAGTTTTAATTATGAAAACGTGAAAAAATAAAATAAAAAATAAAAAAATAAAAAATAATAAATAAATTATTTAATTATTTTTTTAAAATGTCCAAAAAATAAAATAAATTACCTAAAAAATATTTAAAAAAAACTACGTCACTGCCAACGCGCCCTCTACCTCCCAGCACCACCGACTCCGGTCGCCGGAAAATGCCATAAAGATGACATTTTTAGTCTTTGAAAATATCGAGCTTTCTCTTGCTTTCTCTTCAAAATTGCCATCATGATGACATTTTCCCCCCAACTTGGCAATCTTTTCCGGCGACCGAAGGTGGCGGTGCTGGAAGATGGCTGAGGTGGTGGTTGAGGTCTATATATTTTTTAATTACTTTTTACGTTTTTTTTTGTTTTTTTTTATATTTTGTAATGATTGTTTAAAAATCCTATAATCAAGGACAAAGGAAAGGGTAGAATATGAAGAGTTAGTCCTATTTTGAGAATTTAAACTTTAAACTCCTATTGTTGCAATTATCCTTTTATTTACTCCTATTTAGGTAAATATCCCATAATTAAAATAAAATAAATATACATATATCATAAACTTATTTTGAAATTTGGAGGCCCCTAATACTTCGCAAATTATATCGTACACCCGGATGTACGGTCTTCACCATACATCCGGGTATTTTTGCAATTAATTACAAATCTGGTGGTAAAGATTAGGGATGGAGAAGGCTGCTCGGCGCTCGCTGATATCTTGGGAATCGATGGATGAGGATCTGCGCACATCTCTCTTCTTCGCCCACCATGGCCTTCCACGCACGATGCAACAACACCATCGCCATCTGTCTGCAATCGCCATTGCACAGCCTTCGGATGGAGGCTGTTGATTCCGAACCTAAGGCGGCGGATTCGAGCTTAAGTGTCTGGTGCGCCGTCGGATGAAGTTCGCAATCTGTCTGCAATCGCCGCTGCACAGCCTTCGGATGGAGGCTGTTGATTCCGAACCTAAGGCGGTGGATTCGAGCTTCAGTGTCTGGTGCATCATCGGATGAAGTTCGCCCGCCACTGTAGACCACACCTGATGCTAAAATGAGTTTTATGTTAAATTAAAATGAGTATAACGTCCAAAATGAATGAGCACACAAAATTGCGTTTTTAAAATTTTTGATACTCATTTCGTAAGTTATGTATGCTCATTTGGTGGTAATGATATGCTCATTTAACAGAAAGCTTGATTTTCATCTCAATTAATGAGGTTTGGGGCTCAATGAACACATTATGTTAAACTAACAAATCTTACGATTTTCATATCAATAAACATTTTATAAGTTACGTATACTCATTTGGTACTGATGTTATGCTCATTTTTAAAATGTTATATTAATGCATATTTTAAAAGTATTATATTGCATTAAATTCGCATATGGAAATTCATAGAAGTGTATTATAGATATAATTCAATTAGTTTTTATAAAAGAAAAAATAAGAAAAAAAATGAATTAGAAGATATGAAGCACAAATCATGATACTCAATAAATTATGTCAGATGCTCACTAAATGTACACTATTGCTCATTTAGCGGAAACCGTAATTTTCCACTTATATTACAAAAATGCCACCAATTTTTTTTTGACTTGTATTGATTGTTGGTGGTCTTTCTTATATGGGCTGGGTGTACATACACCCGGATGCGCCATATATGTTCTGCTAATACTCGGGGAACCTAGACACTTGTCTAGCTGGACTAGTCCCATGGCCGATTCGGAATTCAATCTGATAAAGGAGCACGAAGTTGATTATCTATTTTTCGACATCTATCATTTTCAAACTATATACGAAGTATATAACACATAATTTTACCCAACTCGTTACATTTGAAGTTCGTTTGGTGATATTGAAATTGGTTGAATTAGTTGATTCTATTGAAATTTATGAAGTTCTAGCTGAAGTGGCTAGATTGACTGATTATGCTTAATTATGAAAAAATTATATTTAAAATATATTTTATTAATAAAATATAGCAAAATTATACAGCGTATGAAAAAATAGGTATAATGGTCATCTACAGTAACTTCAACCACTTTAGTCAAAAAAATAATTTCAACCTTGTTATTTAGATTATTACACAATTCAACGCGTGAAATTAAAAAAATTTGGTGAGAAACAAAAAACTGATAAAGCTAATATGCTAAAAAATAGGATTACCAAACGAACTCTCAATGTGATTTATATACCGTTTGGCATACTTGAAACAAACTCTTAAGCATATACTACCTTCCTCCCAAATTGGTTTGCAAAGTGAACATTTTTTGGTCAACTAGTGTTAAAGTTAAATCCTCCTTATTGATAATTAATTCAATTCTAATAATTAAATATTTCATATTCAGAAGCTACGTTAAAGAGTTTTTACCCGGAATAATGCTAAATAAATAAATAATTCTCAAAATACTACTCGGTCAAAAATAATTGCAAAAGTACTGTTGGGTTAACCGTGGTTAAGAAAAGCCGCCACATGACGTGGCGGCTCTTCTCTTACAATACAAAAGCCGCCACTCCAAGCGGCGGTTCTTCACATACATCACATTTTGTACATATATAAAGTGCAATATGTTTCAAGAATTTGTTTAACTGTCTTCCCGATTGAATTTTGAGCTGAAATTTGGTATGTGTAAACTAGACTTGATGAGGAACATGCTTAAAACATTTCATCAAAAATTTCAACCAGGAAGACCCTCTGATGGTTTTGTCCGCACGGGGTTCCGTACAGGAACCGCAGTCCGGACGGAGGCGTTTCGATCTCTTCCCGGTCGACTTTTTTGATGAAATTTTTATGACTTGTTCTTCATCAAGTCTAGTTTATCAACAAAACAATTCAAATAAATATTCAATTGAAAAGGCCGTCAAATAATTTTTGAAAGTTAACTGCATTTTATATGTATATTTTGGGCGCATTTATCTTCCAAAAATCATTTGACTGCCTTTCCGTTTGAATTTTGGCTGAACCTTTTTTTTGGATAAATTAGATTTGATGAAGAACATGCCATAAAAATTTCATCAAAAAATTCCATCGGGAAGGGCCCCATATGCTGCCGCCCCCCATGCCTCAAAATTAGAAGTCAATGATGATATGACGAGACTTCTAATATGTGTGGTGAGCTTAATGGATTTAAGATTATCTTAAATGAAATTCCATACACATGATATATTCATTGTTTTCTTACCAATTACAATTAGTTGTTGTGACTATTGTTCAAAAAAGAAGAAGTTTGTGGATACTTTTCTTTGGATATTTCTCAATGGTTATGTTACTAAAATGTTGGGATCCTCTTGTAATAAAGGGGTATTCCGAAAAAACATCATGATACCATAAGAGAGTTATTAGAAAAGGCTGTAGTATTAACTCTAACATGGAACAAACGGGAGTTAGATGTTAGGGTTCACAATTTAATCTCAAGTTGATGAAGGAATTTTGGACACTGTAATTCTGTGGCACGACGTGTAACATTGTAAACACTATCCTAGTTCGAAATCAAAATTCTGTGGCACGGCGTGTAGTACAAAAACAACTTGAATGCTAACCCAAAATCATAATGGGTGTCATGATGATTCAGTTCTAATTCATATGAAGTACTTCGTATTATGTTTTTCTTTCAAGAAACTAAAATTTATTATATAGAATTGTTTTAATGGGTTTAAAAGTAGACCTGTTGTACATAGATGTAAATCATTTGAAATTGAAAAATGTGTTTTTGTTTTAAAAAAATTGTTTACACGGTGAATAGATTACCTCACACCTGACCTATGTCCATAGAGTAGTGCTCCGAAAAGTTAAATTGTATAGGTGAAATTGTTGTAGTCAAACGTAGAAAGACTGTTGGGCGCTAGCTAGGTAGCATACTATCATTGTAGTGTAATTATTGCACGTACGTACTTTGGAGTTTAGATAGGATCATGCTAGCTGGGAAGATGAAGACTTGTGCTAATGGAAGACTGGATGGAGACTTCACGAAATTATAAGGAAATGCATGGCTCTCCTATTTATAGGATTAACTAAGGCACATCCAATGTATATATACAACTAACCAAATTACGATATCAAATCTGTAATCTTAGCCTGCCTGCCTGCATTCAATTCTATTAATAATAGTGAATACAGAATGGTTAATCCCAAAAGCATCTCATCAGTTTTGTTCCTTCATTTTGCGCTCGCCTTTTTCTCAGTTGAAATTGCTAATGCACAAGACCTGAATCCAGACTTCTACAAAACTACATGCCAGAATGTGAAAAACATTGTGAAGAAAAAGATGAATGACACCATAACTCGTGATAGAACCCTAGCAGCTTCCTTGTTGAGAATGCATTTTCATGATTGCTTTGTTAGGGTATATTTAAATTATTCATTTTTTCCAGTAACGTAACTTTGTTAATTTCTTTTGAACAATTTTGTTTGCACTTCAAAAAAATAATATGTTTGTACTTCTTTTATGATGACCTTACAGGGATGTGACGCTTCTGTGCTGCTAAACTCCACAAATGGCAATAAAGCAGAGAAAGAGGCCATCCCTAACCAAAGCCTGAGGGGCTTCGAGGTTATTGACGAGGTGAAAGCCGTGTTAGAGAAGCATTGCCCGGGCATTGTTTCTTGTGCTGACATTCTAGCTCTTGTTGCCGAACGAGCGGTTCACCTGGTAATTACAATTATTTCTATCTCAGTTTTTTCAACTTTGTGATCTTTGATTTTTCCATCGTCCAATAGTCATAATAAACTTTGCGCAATCATTTTGATTGCTATAATTAAATGAAAATTATAAATTTTATATATTTATAAAGCTAGTTTCTGTTAAATCTGGGGAATTGGGAAACTGTTTTAGAAAATCTGGCGGATTTCTCAAAGTATCGTGTGATCACTTTCCGAATCTAATATTTCGACCCTATGCCTGGGTTACACGAAATTTAGATTATGGAGATAATCACTCTGAGAGACAGTCTAAAACTGAGGCACCAATATATAGACCACGAACTAGCAGTTTTAGTAGAAATCGAATTCTTCTGATTACCAAAGAGATAAGGCCAATCAGTTAGAGTTTTACTCTAACAGAAAGTCATTCTATTAAATAATTAATATGGACATGTTTATCCGAAAATAAATTTCCATATTTATTTCTTTAATAAAATAAAATTTTGGTGCCCCTTGGACCCCGCAAGGGGCGCTGCCCCTTGGACCCCGCAAGGGGGCGCAGCCCCCTTGACCCCCGCCATTTAATCGAACCAAGTTTAAATTTAATTTCGTACAAGTGTGCGCTCCGCACCTCCTAACTTGTCTAAAATTAAACTTGAACTCCATTGGTAATCTGTAAATTCCATTACACTAAAATGAACTTGGTGATACTAAAATCACCAACAGTTTCAACATAGGATATTCTATACATTTTGTTTAGTCCTATTCAGGGAATTCTCTCATACGTACGTAGTATATCAATACTCAGCACCCTGTCGCGCCGGGTCAAGATATGATACAAAGCACTCTCTCCATTCTTTTTTAGTTGCAACAATGAACTTTGCACATTCGCTATTAGTAAAAGTAATTAAAAATCAAATTTCGAAAATTCGTAATGAGAAGGATTAATTGAACACTATTTTAAAAAATTCTCATAAAATAATAAATAAAATGCAATCAAAGTATAACATGTGAATATTGTACAATTCAACATATTGAAATTAAAAACGGAGGGTAGTATATACTACGACATATACATACATACATACATACATACATACATACATACATACATACATACATACATACATACATACATACATACATACATACATACATACATACATACATACCTACATACATACATACATACATACATACATGCATACCCATACATACATGCATACATGCATACATACATACATACATACATACATACATACATACATACACACACACACATACATACACACACACACACACACACACACACACACACACACACACATATATATATATATATATATATATATATATATATATATATATATATAGAAAAGATCAGGTGAGAAGTCCCTCTTAAAATACTTAAAATGAGAAGTGAGAAGCAATCTCAGCCCTTGAATTTGCATCTAATCTTACAATGCAGTAAACTTATAGACTGAATCTAGGAACTTATAACCAATAAATCACAACTTATAAAGCTCTCCATCATAATTACGAAAATGTCACCGCGTCCAAAAAAATTCAAGGTTTCCAGGCAACTTTTTTGGCGGTGGCATTTTCGTAATTATTTTCGACGGGGTTTATAAGTTATGATTTATTGGTTAAAAGTTCGTGTTTTTAGTCTATTAGTTAAACTTCACAGTTCTCAGCCTAAGAGCACTTCTCACCTGATCCGCTACATATATATATATATATATATATATATATATATATATATATATATATATATATATATATATATATAGAGGTTCTCCCGTGCAAAGTGCGAACAATTGCACTTTTTCTTCACCACGTTGCTCTTTTGCGTGTTTCTGTTGCACTTTTTCACGATGACAAAAAACTTCATTTTAATTACGAAATTGCCACCGCGTTTTTGATCGAAAACCTATATATATATATATATATATATATATATATATATATATATATATTTCAAAATAACTAGCTAACTAGCTAATGTACGCAACTTAGGGGGTGTTCGGAATTGATTCTGCTTCTACTTCTTTTTTAAAGAGGAATCAGAATAAGTTTTCAGAAACTAATCTACCCCAACTTCTAAAAAATTGTTTTTAGGAGTAAATTAGAGCACATAAGTACATTTGCACTTTCATCAAAACACTACTACAACTTCTGCTTCTATTCCCTAAAGAAACAGAAACAGTTTTAAAAATCAGATCTAAACACCATTTAATTTAGGGCTAGGTCCGAAAAGCCGAAAACCGAAAATCAAATCATATTAAACCGAACCGCGACCAAATAAAACCGAACCGCTAAAAACCAAAACCGAATGTAAAAAACCGAACCGAACCGTAGTAGTTTGGTTCGGTTTTGGTTTTTACCCTTCAAAACCGAACTGAACCGAACAAACCGAACATAAATAAAATATGAAATTTTATTTGTTAAATGTAAGCATTAATCTTAATATCATCAATAATCTTTGAATTTCTTGTGCTAGAGAAATAATGTTTATGCTATGTTTAGTTTAGTTTATAAATGCATTTACACATTCATTGCCCATAATAATGTAACTATATTTATCTATTATGTCTTTTATGTATGTATGTTGCAATTTGTTGCATGATTATAGGTTTTTACTAGTTATGAGTAGTAATTAACTTTTATTTTTATGTAACTTAATTCTTTTTTGTAACTTAACTTTTTTATATTGATAAAACAAATAAATATTCATCTCGGCTAAATCACACAGGACGTATTTATTCATAAACGTTTTTCAAACTAGTTACAAACATTGTAAATTAAGAATAAATACACACTTTTATCTCTTCCGCATACTCATATAATTCAAGACATATTTGTTTATTATTATTTTCTTCATTTGTTCAAGTATGCTTGCATTTTTATGTTTGATTTGATCCCTCCAACTTTTATATCAATTTTAAATTAAGTGACATAGTAAAAAACCGAAAAAATCGAAACCGAACCGAAACAAACCGAACCAATCAAACCGTGGTTTGAAGTTTTGGAGTGTAAAACCGAACCGAAACCGAACTTTTACTTTGATTACGTATTTGGTTTTAGGGAATCAAAAACTCACCCCTAATTTAATTGATTATGTGACGTGAGCTTTTGTTTGATCAACTAACAGACAGGGGGGCCATCATGGCAAGTTTTTTTGGGGCGTAGGGATGGAAATGTATCACGCGTCACTGAAGCTGTGCAACAAATTCCATCGCCTCTTTCCAATATCACAGTTCTGAAACAAAATTTTGCTGCAGTAGAGTTGAATGAAACCGACCTCGCAGTTCTATCAGGTCAGCGTCCAAACTAGTTTTTAATGCATTTTTTTACATATTATGGATGTTTTTACTTTACTGTTTTCAGTCTCATATCATACTTAAAGAGATTGGATTAGATCATGCCAAAATTAACAAGATCAGATCAGACAAAACTATCATTGTTATACACTACGTAATACATAGAGACCATACATTTACCAACCATTTCAAACGAAATCAGACCAGACTTAAATAGACCAAATCATCAAATTTCAATCCGGGTAAAAATATCCTAAGGCTAACCGCACCCCGGTCTCGTCAATAAATCCAATTTTCTACCAATTAATAATTTTATACGTATTCAGTTTGTCAATTCTATTATTAATGCAATCCAGCACCGTCAATATATTCAGCCATCAATTTTTTCTTTAATTAAAGCCTTCCTTTTATTATTACAAATCAATTTCTTTGTTAATATTTTTGGCAAATAATTATGATTTTAAAAGTCAAACATTTCGATTAAAAATTAATAAATTTGGAATATAAAATTATTGTGGTTAATTTATACCTGTTTCAATAAAATAACTGAAAGCTGTAAAAAATTAATTTAATTATAAGATCTTAACTTAGCACTTCGATCTACTTAACAAAAACTTTGAACATACAAATCTCAAGTAATGAAATTTCATATTTTTTGAAACTTTAATATACAATATTGGTGTCACATGAATCACCATAACAAAATATAAATTTTAACATACTATCTATAAAAATTGGAGTATAAATAAAACATTGAAGATATTTGGGATTTTTAGTTTTCCTAACCCCACATTTCTAGAATGCCATGACTCTCCTCTCTCCGTGAATGAGACGCATAATTCCCACTCCACCGGTGCTATCTAACCAATTTGACACCTATAAATACTTGAATTGCACCATATAAGGGGGTGAATGCAAGAAAATATGGGCCCTGTGCAAAAAATAAATGTGGCATTTTCCTAAAATAACTCTTATTTAAAATTTAATAATGCTTATAATATTAAATTAAAAATTAATGTATCACTATCTAAAATAGAATTCATAAATGTAAGATGTGTTAGGAATTGAATGGATAATTTGTCAAAGTAATATTTATATAAAAAATTATAAATATAGTTGATAAATCTAATGAATATTTCATAAATATCTAATTGGTTATTAATTTAATAATGGCATGGAATACAAAAAATAGTCATTACTTTGATTACATATTAATTTCAATAATTGTAGTTGATGATATTGGGCTTAAAATCTTATGAGTTATATCAATAATTCTTTGGTACAAAAACAAAAATTGAAAGAGTGTTAACATCAACCAATTTGGTTGAGCTTGTTCGCCGCCGGCGTGTGTGAGAAGGTTGGCAAGGGTTCGATTCCCCTGGCTCAAAACTTTTCAATTAAATAGTGTATTTTACTCATTGGGCTCTAATTAATTAGAAGGACGACAAAAAAATTGGGCCTTCAGGATTTTCGGGCCCTGTGCGATCATACAGGCGGCACTTGGCCTGGGCCGGCCCTGATCAAAATTGGCTTTTCACCCTAAGGTTTAGGGTCAGCGTAAGAGTCATTAGATGTTAGATCAGATCAGGGGTGGACCGTAGTAGAGACCCAGGGGGGCTACCGCCCCCCCAACAAAATTTTTTTTAGTGTATATATATACGAAAAATGATTTTTGCTCTTCCAAAAAGTATTTTGAACCCCCCCAAAAATATTTTCGCCCCCCCAAAATGACTTTCCTGGGTCCGCCCCTGGATCAGATACACCAGATTCATCATCCTTACTTTTATAAATGGGAAGGAGACTTTAATTTATACTCTCTCCATCCCATTGAACATTGTCAATTCTTATTTTTGTTTGTTTCAAAAATTTCGTTACTTTCCTTTTAAAATAGTGAATTTATGATTTTGATGATTTCTCTCTCCTCTGCATAAATCTCAGTCACACATTTTTTACTTTTCAAATCTCACACCTAGCATGAACTTGTTAAAATTGAGTGGGGGAGGTAATATATGTTGCATGTTAGCTCTCTAAAATAATGAAATATGACTGAATGAGTGAACAGGGGCACACACCATTGGGACGGCTCATTGCTTTACTTTCGCAACACGTTTGTACAATTTCACGGGAGAGAACGACAAAGACCCAAGCTTGGATGAAGAGTACGTGCTTAAACTGCAGAGCGCATGTCCGCCGCAGGCGAGCAACACGGCCAAAGTAGAGATGGATCCCGGGAGTTTCACAAGGTTCGACACCAGATACTACATCGGTGTCGCGAAACGCAGAGGGGTGTTGGGGTCGGATGCCGCTCTCCTCACAAGTGACATCACAAGAAAGTATGTGCGAGGGCACGCCTCCATTCCCACCGCAGCCTTCTTCGCAGATTTCGCAAACTCAATGGTGAAGATGGGCAACATTAGCGTCCTCACGGGCACTCGGGGCGAAATCAGGAAGATTTGTTCCCGCATTAATTAGTAATTAATCAATTCTACATCATGCGGCATGCGTGAATAAAAAAATATATATATACATCCCCTATCATACGTTTTATATTCCGGCCCTTCGTTCCTTTTTATATATTTATACATGGTTGTATTGATAAAGAAAATGACATGAAAATATTTTTCATTAAAAATACTTTCATAAAAGTATTAATTTCATATAAATATATCAATTAATTAAAATAATGGCTTGATTCGAAGTTTACAATCTTTAGTTGGAAAAATAAAAAATGACTAAATAAAGGGACGAAGGAGTAATACATAATATCCACCCGCCCATAATATATATTGCCCCCGCCTTGGCCCCGGCCCGAGCCTTTCTTTCTCTTAATATAATCATCCCTTTCTTTCCATGTACGGAGTATCTTCCTTTCTTTTAATTTGTATGTGTGTTACGTACACTGTTTTGTTTGAATTCGATCAGGATGTGTAATACTATGAATTAGGTTGTCGATCTGGGTGCTTTCTATGCATTTTCTCAGTTCCGGTTGCCATCTGCCATGCGTCCTATATATTGTACTTACTTTCTATAAAATTTTCGCCGTATTAGGTACTGGTACAAATTGAGAAAGCTATTTTATTTAATAGGACTAAAGCACAAATAAAGTCCATAAATAGGATCATAATTCTATTTGAAAGTACGTAGTAACACATAATTAGTCCTATTTATGCATTTTGTCAGCAATATATGTACATGTTTCATATAAAAAACAAAATGATGATTTGTAAGAGAATGACTAATTAATACTCCCTATAAAATCACAAATCAACATTTATCCCTCTTCAATTCGATGTTTTACGTACTTATGATGATAACATTTACTCCCTCCGTCCCATTTTGTAAGATACTTTACGGTTTACGATGTATATGTATCATTGAGCGCTACTTAATGATAATTATGATTCTACATACGATTTAATGTGCATTTATAAATGCACTTCTATATAGGAAATTTATTAGAGCATCTACATTCATGATCTCTAAGAGCATCTTCATTCATGATCTCTAATAATCAATTTTTTCTATGATTCTTACCATTTAAATATTGTTATATAATTAATTATAAAATAATCTCAAAATTCGTTTATATCTCTCAATCATCATCTTCAAATAATCTATTTTTTCTCTGTCCTGCATTAATCTCTATTACATATATTTTTCAAATAATCTTAAAATAATCCGGATCCATATTTTGATCCCAGATTATTGTAGCAAATAATCTCATTAAATAATCTATGTCACTCAATGATAATTCCCTAAAAAAACTTCCATGTCACCAAATTAATCTCATAATAATCCTCCCAATGAGGATGCCCTAATAATCAACTTTTTTTAGGATTCTTACCATTTAAATATTATTATGTAATTAATTATAAAATAATCTCAAATTCGTTTATGTCTCTCAATCATCATCTTCAAATAATCTGTTTTTTCTATGTTCTGCATTAATCTCTATTACATATTCTTTTCAAATAATCTTAAAATAATCCGGATTCATATTTTGATTCCAGATTATTGTAGCAAATAATCTCATTAAATAATGTATGACACTCAATGATAATTCTCTAAAAAAATTGTCATGTTACCAATTTAATCTCATAATAATCCTCCCAATGAGGATGCCCTTAGATGTCAACTTTATGTCTTACTTATGAATAGTTGCAAAATGAGTAATATATAATTCAAGTTTACTATTTAATAATTTGATTTTACATATTGTACTTTTATTATTTTGCTTTACAAAAAATCAAATGATCTGACACTACTAATTTATCACGAATTGACACTTTTTTACAAGACTCTAGGCTAATTTGTTCATGGAAAAACCGCCGCTTCTGCATAAATTATGGCTCAAGTTTCAGAATGATTTACTAATCCATATGAAATCCTAGACAAAACCCTTTGATCAACACTTGAAAATTTTCATTAATACAACTCTGTAAGGCTCATTATCTTTGATTCACATAAATTGGATAATGTATCATTATGAACAAGACATACTAAACATGGACAAATAACTAATTTTTTGTGTACGATGGCCACAATAATTAATTCCAATTGGCATGAAAACTAATGAATATATATTGTGTAAGGATTTTTTTCTCAAAAAAGGAGTCTCTAATCCACTAAAATCACCCCGTAGTAGCTGATAGAGTATATAGACTCGGACCCCCGGGTCTCACTACTATTGGGTCTGAACAGCGGCGCACACACGCTTATTGAATGTCTTTTGTATTATTGTAGTGTTCATATATCATCTGTATGTACTAGATTAGTCTTTTATGTAGTTGGGCCTATCAGGCCCATATTAGCGGCCTGACCCATTATTTCTCTATTTATACTCCTCATGGAGTCACTTGTAAACCCTAGAACACAATTCCTAATATTTAGAACCAATATTCACACACATTTTTACTATTCTATCATCTTCTTCACTTTCATACCTCAAATCTCTCCGTTTATTGTATAGTTGGGATCATTATGATACATCAATGGTGCTTTCATTGAGAGTTTTGAGCAAATCAAGTGAGATTCCTCTCCACAAACATCAAGAAATTCATTTGAATCACAAAAAAAACTAGCCAAAAATGTTCTGGAAAATCCAATAAATGGAAGAAATATGGAATTTCAGATCTAAAATTTCCAGATCTGGTCCGGAGATGCCACCGCCGGTGCACTGTGGACAGAATATGGCTGCCGCCCGCTCCAGATTATGTTCCCGTTGATGTAGATCTCGCAAAACGTGACAGCAGAACTCGCATCGCAGGCCACATCTCAGGTTTGGTGGGGTCCTTCACTTGGAGTAGCGCATGCCAAACGCCGTCGGAATCGCTCTGTGACCTCGCCGGTCTCCGGTCGCATCTCTCTCCTCCACCTCCGTCGCAAGTATCCTCGCTGAGAACCCCTTTTGTCTTACAACTATGTCCGAGCATCCACCCGGTGAAGGATAGGGCCGAGGCTCCCTCACCTCTCTCTCCAGTCATCGCAGCAACTTCGAAGGGCCTCTCTAGTGGTTCTCAACGGCGGAAACAGCCGCAAGTCTTCCCCTTTCCTTTAAGCCGTCAACAACATCGCAAACCAATCGCTCCTCCCCCTTGCGGAATGGTTAGGTGGATGTGTGCGGCCAAATATTTATTCCGGAACTGTTGGTGAAGCCCTGCCATGAACAGGGCTAAGCGGCTGAAACGTCCTAACCGTGTTGCTCATTTAAAACAGCAAAGGGCGGTGAAAGTTATCCCATTTGATTTTGACCAAGTTAAAATTGGTGGCTAGAGTCTACGATTTCCAACTAGCAGAAGTGTCATCAACACAAACGGCCAATTCTCAAGCTAAGTACTCCTAAATTATTCCAATACACTTAATTTGTGAACATATTTGATAAAGAAAATTACAAAACAGTACAAAAAAATCATAAATGAAATATTTTAATAATATAGCATCAAACTTCAATCTCGAGGGGCGAGTCAACCGTGAAAAGACCCGTAAATAGCGTCTAGCGGATCCCAGCTACGAATTTGAGTGACGAGTTGAGCTAGATTATTAATTTATTATCATTTTTTTTAAAATAGTGTGTACTTTTGACATTGAAAAAATGGACTTATGAAATCCGAGCACTTGCGTACACCGGGCGAGCACACACACTCGCGCCACCGGGTCACGTCAAACGAGTGTGGATAGTAAGCTCCCAATCCAAATGTTATCAAATGCATACTCTAGTTTCTATGTTATGTATGAGTTATGTGTGCCCTTAACTATCGGATTCGAACTGCGATCCCCCAGCGGGTGTAGGTTTAGTCCTTTACGCGTGTCACGCTCCAACTAAGCATAGAAACCCGACTTGAGATCTAGCTTGGAAATTTGAGGCCACTTAATATAGGTCCAAATCCAATAGCGAATTATAAGTTCAAAAAATTATAACAATTTTATTTGAATGCATAGATGCAACTAAATGATGACATCATACCGGCCACTTAGTCGTCTCTCATGGCCATCTTTATTTGATGGCTTGGACTTCTTATAGGCCTCTCGGCCACACGTCTCGGTCACTTTATTTGATGACCCAGACATCATATTATGGACGGTCACTCGACCTATCTCTTAGTCATCTTTATTTGATGACTAGGACTACCTATCATGTCGAGCTACGCACATACGAGGATCGGCCTTGGTCATCCCTTTAGCAGATGCCGATGGTTGCAGTTCCACACCTAGGCCGAAGGCTCACCCCTATTGCTTCGTTTTGGGGGCATCCGGTGTACTCTTTTTCCCTCATTAGGATTTTTTTCCCACCGGGTTTTTTCTTAAAGAGGACTTTAACGAGGCATCTCCCCAACGTGGACAAAAGGTGTCGACCCTCGGTCCCTATTGAAGACATCAAGAGACATGCACTACTCTACTCTTCTTCACCTCACTACATTCACCCCAAGTAGTGGGGGATTCGAAGAGCGGGGGACTTAGCGCCTCAAATTTTTTCACGAAGTTTACTCACCAGATGACGACAGATCAACACACAGTTCTACTCCCTTTCGCCTCGAGTACTCTCGACTCAGGGAGTGGGGGACTCCTGATAGAGTATATAGACTCGGACCCCCGGGTCTCACTACTATTGGGCCTGGACAGCGGCCCACACACACTTATCGAATGTCTTTTATATTATTGTAGTGTTCATATATCATCTGTATGTACTAGATTAGTCTTTTATGTAGTTGGGCCTATCAGGCCCATATTAGCGACCCGGTCCATTATTTCTCTATTTATACTCCTCATGGAGTCACTTGTAAACCCTAGAACACAATTCCTAACATTTAGAACCAATATTCACACACATTTCTACTATTCTATCAACTTCTTCACTTTCATAGCTCAAATCTCTCCATGGGATCCCTATAATCCATCAGTAGCAAAACACGCTACAAGAAAATTGACATTATATAACAAAAACATTGTCATATAAAGTTTAGTTTTTGTCACTAAAACTTTAATATGATGACCTATGAGCATCATAGTGCTCGTCACCATAGCTCCACAGTATTAGGTATATACGATTAATTTTTAATTATCACCATAAAATTATTTTTTATGACGTTTTTGCTCTTTGTCACAATTATTGATGACTTTTGGTGACATCAAATGTGTCAGATTTATATTTCTTTTTTGTCATCTAAACATGAATTTCGTCACCATATAATTATTTTTGATGACGTTTTCTCTCTTTGTCACCATTATGGATGACTTTTAAGGACACCAAATGTATCCCGCTTATATCGTTTTTTTGTCATCTTAATATGAATTTCGTCACCAATACTTAACTCTATAAATGATAATATCTTAAATTGTCAACAAAACAAGATTTATTTTGGCAATTTACAATGTATTCTCATCTTTAATTTTTTACTTGTAATTTTGCTTGGTTCATTGTATTTATAAAATCATGTCATTAATTCGAGTTAGTTTAGTCA